ATCATACAATAAGATATATATATATATATACATTTATATATGTATATTACACTATATAATGTTGTAAATGACGATGTAATATTCATTGCTTAATTCTTTTTGTAATATTAAGTAATAATTTGATTTGTAAAGAAAATACCAGAATAAATCATTTAATAAGTAAAGAAATATCTGGAGTAATTTTTATGAAAATTATTAAATGGACAATCAAGTGAACATGAATTAAATAATATAATATTAAAACAATTATATTGTTATAAATGATATGCACAGTTTAAAGCTAATTATTTACTGTGCAATATTTGATAATTTTATTTTGCAGTAAAATTTATAAAATTGTTTGAAAATTATAAATTTTGAAAGCTTACATTACTCATCATCTGTCTGAGATGAGGTACTCCACATTAACACGTTAGATCCATTGGAGGCTAAAAAGCAATTCTTCTGTGGATGAACACTTATGGATACAGTAGCATACTTAGTTGGTTTAATTCCCGAGAGTTTTGCAACCACTTTCTGAGATACAAGATCCCAAATCCATAACTTTCCATCCGCCGAGCCCGAAAGAATTTTTGTATCTTGGCAATCTACGCTCGATTCCAGACAAAGATCTTTTCCAGTATGACCTTTAAATTCACCAAGTAGTTCTCCCGAATCTTTATCAATCAATCTAATTGAATCATCTGCACAACTGACGATTAGACATTGGCCATCTCTGGTAAAACTAGCGCATGTAATTGGATCTAAAAATTTGTATTTTTATATTTTAATCAATAAATCATAAATATGCTTACACTATACCTTGTCATTACTTACCTCCCATATAATCTGCGCATAGTTCTCCTATACGTATATCGTAGGTACGTACTTTGCCATCAAAAGAAGCAGACAAGATTTCGTGATCTGAAACTCTTATACTCGAAATAGAATCTTTGGCATCATTCAGTGACTGTACTGCTTCTTGCGCTTTGGAACGTGCATCCCAACACATAACGCTGTTATCACGAGAACCAGAGATTATCATCGATGATTCTTCGTTGAATCTGTGGTTGTAACAAGAAATATCAAACTTAGCTGAGTCGTCTGGACTGCAAGAACTTTAAGAGTGAAATGATATTATGAATAGTTTGAATGAGACAAGATATCTACTTTACTGTTGTAACTGGACCTGCATGACCTCTGAAACGGCGTACAGGCGTACCAGTTGCTACATCCCAAAGGATTACAGATTTATCCAAACCACAGGATACGATTTGGCTGCTATCACAGGACGCACAGCCGTCCATAACCTCGTCACCATGTCCACCATACGTTTTTAATGTAACGGATTTGTACGGATTCCATAATTTTATTTTTCTGTCCGATCCGCATGTTATACAGTAAGAACCGTCAACTAAAACAAATTACGTGTCAATATATTTGAGACTCATATGTATTGACACATTATTAATAACCTCAACAGCAGTTTCCTTACCGCTAAATCGTACAGATCTGACAGCCCCTTGTTTGCAATCGATTTCTTTCAGGAATTTATAGTATTCACTATCCATCTTTAAAGGCTAACTTAAATACAATCATCATTCGATAAAAAATTATGAATATACCGCGTCTTTCGAGACTTTTGAAAACTTGTCAGTTATTGTATTTCGAGAAGAGGGAGAGGGTAAATCACAGATGATATATGTATAGCGTAAATCAAACTGAAGTTGCGAATTTTATATTCAGTGGCTTACTTCTCGATATTAAGATGACATGATTTGGAATAATATTTAGATATAATATATTATTGCTATTTAGATTTGTAATATATATTCATATAATTTGTAGTCAGTTCAGTGTGGTTCATTCCTTGTCAAAGTATGTTCTGATAATCCACGAGATTATTTTTTAAGAGTCTCAAAGACCCGTGTTCTATCGCTATAAGCGATAGTGAGAATTAGAATACGAGTCTTTTGAGACTTTTGAAAAATAATCTACACATATGTATAATTCAAATTTAAATTATTATGTCAAATAATAATTACTTCGCTTATTTTTATATGAGTTTATATAAACAAATAGTGAATTTTTATAAAATTAATAATAAAGGAATTATACCTGTGCTTATATCATGTCTTACAAAACATTGTGTATAAAAGACATAAACAATATAAATATATAATATTTATTACAAATATATTTTATTATCTCCTAATTATATATGAACATTTGATAAAATTTTTTATAACACTGAGAAGAATATACTATAGAGATTATAAAAATATCTTTTTTTTTTATTTTACAAAATTATTTTTCAACTTACATCAATATTATTACATAAATTTGTTATCTATTTGTTATAAATAGTGAGTATTTGATAGTTTTGAATACTTTATCAAATTTGTACAGAGGTAGAAATAATGAATAGCAAATGAATAATCACAATTTTCTAAAGATTGTATCTAGCGCATTAACTTTCATCCAATATACACACAATATAATACTTAATTATAAGAAATATTACTAAATATACATCAGCATACTCTCATTATAATTTGTTTTACAATATTGTTATAGGCTCTAATACAAATTATATACATATATATATATTATATGTATACAATATTTATATGTATGTAATTGATATATGTATATAATTAATGTTATTTTACATGTCATATTTTGTTTCCATATTACAACTGCACAATCATTATTATTTAAATTTGCATGATTTGTCTGTTCCCCTATTTTTCCCAATATTCTATTTTTGTCTCAAAGAAAAATCAATCTGTTAAATCAATAGTAGTTTTTAATCTCCTTTTAATCTCTCTCAAATGTAAATAATTTTAATATTATATTAGACAAAAAGAAATTTTTATTATACGAAACAAATTTATATTTTTTAATTTATATAATTATATTTTCTTATTTTCTTTTATATTTTATTTAATTTCACATAAACAACATAATAAATAATTAAAGCTTATATATTTGATGAAACTACATCTCAAGTTTTGCTTCAATGGCAGTGACAATATTGTAAATCAAAAGCAGATTTGTATAAAAAACTATTTCATTCATTATATTATGCAGATTCGTCTAAAATACACATTTTTCTCTCTCAAAAGACTGCCAATTAAATTAATTCGACAAGTTTAATTACAATTATTTTCCTGTATTAAAGTTCTATGAGATTAACTTCCCTGGTTATTGTATTCAATGTGGATGATGATCCAACTGACGTTGCAAATGAACGTACATGAGATCTGAAGCTAGAAGCAGGTCCCCAAGCTTCGTCTCGCACCACACCTTGATTTCTAGGATACATTAGCAACGGATCTTTACCTGTTTTCTTGCACAATCTTTCTTGAAGCATAATTAAGCGAGATCTCCAATATTCATAGCTTGCTTGTTTAAGTGCATTAATCCATTGTTCCACTTGAGACTCCGATCGACCGCTCAATACATGCCGTTTCTCATGTTCATCACGAAATGAAATGCTAAATGCAAATACTCCTTCAGATGAAGTATCTACATTAATGCTGCAATTTTCTAGAATAATGACACCAGCAGGTTGTCTCCTATCAATTTGTCCCAAATCATTAATGTTAAAGTAAAATAATAGATTGTATCGCAGCTTGAACCATTTTTCTTTAAACACTGAAAATAAATAGAAATTACATGTTAAAAGTATATATAATCTTGCTATAATTATTTAAGTATGTATACATCTATTCTATCATTTACACAATAAATTTTTTGCACAATAAGATTGTCAAAGTTTGTGATAAAAAAGTATAATTATTATCCTCTAACTAGTTATATAAAATAATAAGTTTTCTGATGTGTGAAAACTTTCTATATGAATTATTTATTTTGTTTTTATGCAGGAAACTCATTCCTTTAGTTTGGTCAATTATTTCAGAAATAGTATAATAATATTTCGAATGATTAAAAATGTCTAAAATTTATTTATTGTTTAAAATTAATTTATGTCGCAGAGTGAAATAAAATATGACAATTCTCTCTATAAACCGGAAATATAAATCAGAAGCAGATAATTGTGCAAAAACAATAATATGACACGAATAATAAAATATATTCTCTTGTCAAAAAAGTCAGGATAATATATAGGTGAATGGAAAGAATTGTTTATCTCTCTCGATATCGAATAACTATCAGACGGCAGAATGACAGATATTAAATCGATTTGTTGTGCGTGTATTGCATAAAAAGTATAAAATTATATTCACGCACTAAACTAACCTGACTTATGAGCCCGCTTATGATTTAGACGTCCTTCGAGATCAGCGGGCCCAAAACTCGCTTCTGCGAGCTCTTTGTCATTGAATCTCATGTTTGACTAAGCGATATGAGGGTGTTGTCAACGTATCACACACTAGCTATCGCACCATTATCACAATATATTCCATCTTCATAATCGTTTATAGGGCTTGCCTTCTGTATTAATGGACTATACGCTTTCCTGAATCATCGCGCTGCAAGAATGCTTTCACTTATGTCAATGATCTTAATAAGTATACCGTCGTAGTCTCTACGAATGATCTTCGATAAGTTGAATAATATTCTTACAATAATAAAAAACAAATCGCATACTTCGCACAGCGCGTCACACTTGAAAAAGCTATCTTGTTAAAAGTGATTTGCGTGACCTTTTGTATATATCTGCGATGGACGATAAAAATAGATAGATATAGGTAGGAAAAAAATTAGAAAGATGAATGACAATGATTATAACGTAAATGAGAGAAAAGAAAAGAAAATACAACTCATACGGAGATAAAATTATATATATGTAAAAGATGCTGAATGAGATCAAGATAACCGAACAGAAAAATACTAGTGTGGTAAAATAAGGGACGTTTAAGGCTCAGCAGACAGAGTGAATGTCTGTCGTAAGACTGAGAAGAAAATCTTCGGATCGAGTCCCGGTAGAGCCCCGTATATTTTTCGACCGCTCATTGGTATATTGCATATATATTTTTCTTTACAAAAACATAAAATAATATGCAATTTCAAAATTGCGCGCGTTACGATATGCGATTACAAATGGCTGATACGCGGGCTTTTCAAATTGGATGCTTAATACACATCCGTTAAATTTAATAGATAACAGGGTGACAACACATATGTTTACCCATTATTCTTGGATTTATCACACGGATCAATTTTGGGTGAGACATTTTCCAAAGATTCGTATGTTGATCGTCGCAATATATTGTAAGCGGACGAAAAATACGAGGTCTCATCGGGACTCTATCCGAAGATCTTCTCACATCAGTCTTACAACAGGTACTCTGTCTGCTGGACCTTGGATGCCCCATCCAGTGTATTTCCTCTACTCGCTTATGATCCCTTCTTAGAATCTTACAATATGTATATTGTATATATAAACATTAACCTGTATTTTTTCGAGTAAACGATGTTTGTATATATTGTTATTTTTCAGAAGACTAGCTGTTAAAAGCTGTCAAAAAACTGTATATGTGATACTGAAGACATTAAAACCGAAAAAATTAATTATAAACACACGTGTATAAAGTTTTCTGTTTCCTTATTTATTATAATATCTCTCCATTTTTTCGTCGTAAAATATTTTATCTCGCGATAAATTATGGCGGAAGAAGAGTCTGAGGAAAAGGAATATCGCTGGGAGACTGGTTATGAAAAGACATGGTATGTTCCCAGGCTAAAAATTTTTTATGTTTAACATTGATATTCTTCTCTCTTTGATATATAAATGAAAATTTTACACTTTACATCGATCCAATAATCTAACCGATATATTTTTAATACAGGGAAGCAATCAAGGAGGATGACCATGGATTATTGGAAGCATCTGTCGCAGATATTATTCATAATGCTAAGAGAAAACGTCAATTGGAAAGAAAACAGGGTGCTCGATTAGGAATGATGAGACATCTTTATATTATTTTGGATGCCTCTGAATCAATGTCGAATCAAGATTTAAAACCGACTCGATTCTTGTGTTCCCTAAAGGTATGACAAAAGGTTATCGATTATTTACTCATAATGTGTAAATGTATACATATATGCTTTGTTATATAAATATTCGTCTCAAGCTTTTAGAAGACTTTATCGAAGAATTTTTTTATCAAAATCCTATCAGTCAATTAGGTGTAATTATAACTAGAAATAAAAGGGCTGAAAAGATTAGTGATTTGGCTGGCAACTCAAAGAAGCACATTAAGGTAATTGTCTTTATTTTCTTATCTTACCTTTATTCCCTATATTTCGTTTTAAATTGTATAATCTATACACATATAT